CTCTAATGTTTGGTTAATAACAATAAATAACATCTGTTGAGCATATTGCAATTTCCAAAATCCTTTCACAGCTGTAAAACTATCACATAGGAGTGATACTTTCAGGTTAAGTAATGTGCAGAGGACAAAATGGGTTGATCAGGATTGGAACCCAGCCTTGCAGGACAAATTGTATTTTTCATATGCCAAGATTTTGACCACTCTTGTCTTCTACAGTTATAATGACTTGGAATAATGTGTCCAGATTCCCTGCATTTGTTGTGTAAATTCTGCATGGTTGTGTATGGTTTTTCTTAATGTATCCTGGCATATTGCAATGCTCAAGAATACCATTATCATTGTTCCAGTCAGGCTGGTGCATTCTGCAATGTCTGGTTTTCTCATCAAGCACTATTTCAGTTCACAAAGGACTTCATACATATATCCAAGAATAGATTTAAAGTAACTAATGTGAAGACTAAACTTCAAGTCACTTGTAGTTTACTCAGAACAAGTTCTGATTTTCTTAGAATAAAAAGTGAAACTCCCAAAGATAGGGAAGGAAGAAAAAAGGGAAACTAAGCCTTGGTGAAAGAGAGGGGTGTTGTGGTGAGGAGAGAGGAGCGGAGTAGAGGGAATCAGGGTTTGAGGTTCTGCCAGTTAATTGGCTGCAGCAGCGCCTGGGGCAAATCTCTCATGCCTCTGGTTCTCAGTTTTTTCTCATTTCAAATGGGAATAGTAATTTCTTTCCTGGTAAAGTGTGAGAGTTTATCAGCCCTAAAGGAATCCGCAGCCAGGCAGGTGGAGAAGGAGGAGGGGTGCACCAGAGCAGGGAGCTGCCAGGGGCCTGTGGTCTCCATGGTAACATGAAGCAGCCAGCAGAGAAGGCTGGGGGATGAAGGGTTCACAAAGAAAGCTTCCTCCTCCCTCAAAGAGAATGACATCCTTGGCGATCCCGCTGTCTGCACTAGATCAGCCCACTATGCAGGATCAGGCAGCGATCTTGCCCCGTTCTTGAGTGAAGAAATCACAGTTGTCTATTTAACTTACAGGTTTTCTCCAACAGTCTGAGCATTCCCTGAATGCAGAAATCATGACAGATTCATTTCTTTGTTCTTAGAGGGCAAGGCCTGGCACACAAAAGATTTAAACACGTTGTTGGTTGGATGGTCATGGCTGGGGTGGGGTTAGGAAATGGTCAACTTGTCCAAAGCCCTGGGAGCTACAGTGGTATCTTCTTGAAAATATGAAGTCAGTTCGATCCCTGGTACCAAAAAAAAAACAAAAAAAAATGAAGTCAGCATTATAGGACACTTGCCATGTCCCACTGAGACCTTTCACTATTGCCATGGTCCATCAAGTTCAAGTTCAACCCTATTTCTTCCACAAAAGCTTTCAGACTATTTCTTATTTCCTGCTTCAAGATCTTTGAAACTCTCGTGGCCCCTACTCCACATCCTGACCCTTGTCTGCCAACTCCCCCTGACTCCCCTCCAGGGGTTTCATGGACCATACTTACTCCTGATTCCCAGTAAGTCCCTAAGGCCAAGGCCGCAGGTTCTGCCCTACAAGGTTTGTCACCATGTGGGATCCACAGTATGTCCTCAGTCAACACCTTAGGAGGGGACCACCCACTTGGGGTAGCCTTGGTCCTAAAAGGATGGAAAGGTATGTGCCAGCTCCCCCGACACAGGTGAGATTGAGGGCTCTGTGACAAAACAAGGCATGTGGCTCTCCTGGGCCTCCATGAGCTGTGCTCTGGTCCCTGAGATAACTGGACAGAGACTGGGCAGTGCAGTGACCTCCTCCTGAGAGGCCATGTCTAGGGCCTGAGTCATTTCTGTGACCACAGGGGCCACCACTGTCCTGTAGACTTCTGAGACATCAGGAACCTAAGGGGGTGTTCAATAGACCCCAGAGGTAGAGATCCTGGGTGTCAAATGTCATATCAGGGTCACAACAGGACAATGAGCAGTCACATAAGGTTCTGAGTTCCTTTCCATGCTCAAAACCCTGCCCTGTGGTTCCCTTTGCCCTGTATTAAAGCCCAAACCCCTTACTGCAGCCAGGGACTCAAGATGTGGCTCTTCTCCCCCTCTAGCTTCATCTCTCACCATTACTCACCTGACTGTAATGTCTACCCCAACTGAATTACTCATTGTTACTCAAAATTGTCACCACATGGGGCCCAGGGAGGTGCCCCCAAAGAGAAGACGCAGATCTCAACTCACCTACCCAGGGAGTAGGTTCTTTTTCTTTTTTGGTACCGGGGATTGAACTCGGGTCCTTGAGCTTGCAAAGCAGGCGGCGAAACCACTGAGCTAAATCCCTGGCCGAGTAGGTTCTTGACTTGTCATGGAAAAGCACTTCAGGGTGCATCAGTGAGAAGCACCCAAGAAGTGTACGCTCGGAAGGGAGTGCAGGCGCTGGAGGGGTGGGCACATTATGGTCTGGGGCTCAGATATTTACATGTTTTTGAGGGTATCCTCAAGACGAATGATCTAGCACGTGTATTCCTAGTGTCTGTCCTTACCCTTCAGGGGGCTAGGTGAGTTTGCACCTTGCATTTGAAGTTTAAAGATACAGTACCCAATTAATAATGTTGTTTCCTTGAGGGTGAACGTCTGTGGGATTTGTAAATGTATCGCAGGAAAAGAAAAACACAGGCCCAATTTACAGGAGAAAGACACAGGCCCAGTTTATAGGGTTGCTGTATCTTTTTGTTTTGTTTTGTTTTGTTTTTGTACCAGGGATTGAACTCTGGACCTTGCACTTGTAAACCAGGTGTGGTGCCACTGAGGTAAATCCCCGGCTCTGTTGTTTGGTTTTTTGAGACAGGGGCTTTCTCTGTAGTCCAGGCTGGCCTCCAACTCATGACAATCCTCCTGCCTCAGCCTCCCAATGCTGGGATTACAGGTTTGGATCACCACAGTTGGCTCTCATTTTATCTTTTGAGACCCTTAGGAATTCTGAGGTGATATTCCTGGAAGGGAAAAAAGAAAGCACTGTAGCCAAGTGTGGTAGTACACACCTGTAATCCTAGCATTCTGGGAGGCTGAGGCAGGAGGATTGAAAGTTTGAGCCCAGCCTGGGCCATTTAGTAAGACCCTATCTTAAAATAAAAGTTAAAAAATGGTCTGCGGATAAAGTTCAATGCCAAGGTCCTGGGTTCAATCCTCTGTAACACACACACACACACACACACACACACACACACACACACAAATGTATGGTAACCTTGGGCAATTTTAATTATGTCCTGAAGCTGCAGTTTGCTTAAAAATGCAAATTAAAAATTACGATTTTCCTTTCACCGCCTGCTGCACAAGTGCTAGGATCTGAGTTCGATCCCTGGTACAAAAAAAAAAAATTACGATTTTCCTTGTCTCTATTATATTTATGTTTATTTCTTCTCTCCTTCTTCAAAATGATCATATGCCCTTTCTAAGCCATGTGCCTCTCTGCTGTTCTCTCCCTTGAAGACTGCTCCTCATCCCAACCACAAGCTCCCTTTCAGCTGCCAGTGTGTTCTCCACGACTGACCAGGCATCATTTTCTCCAGGAAGCCTCCTGAGAGTCCTGGCTGGGTCCTTGTCGTTAACAGCTATAGATGTTTACAGGTAGCCATGACCTCCTCCGACACAGGGACCGAAATCCCCTCACTTGAAAAAGAATCACTGTCAATGAGTGTTGAAATGGACAAACCAAGGCAAATGTTTCAGGAGAGGTCAGAAGCCCACCTGCCAGGTAGTGCTGTGAGGGGGGGGGTTTCTAATATTTCCAAGTCCCAGTTTTCAACATGCTGTAATTCGTGGCTGAAGATTTGGACAAAGGCTCTTCTCCATCTGGAACCCCTCCACAGCCCGCAGCCTCCTCTCCGAGACCTCAGAGTGTTTGTTCTCAGGCGGTCACACACATGTTCTGAACATCACCGGGAAAGCAATTTACAAGAAATAATTGCTGGTCGATGTGTGGCAGGGAGCAGCAGTGAGCTCAGACTATTTCTGTCTGTGCGTCAGCCCACCCGGCTTCCGCCCTGCTCAGGCGCCCTGGGGGAGGGCTCCTGCCTAAAGAGTGGTACAAGAGGTGCTCAGACATGTGGGCCCCAGTGAGAGCCCTGCTGTGAAGATGGAGAGAAGCTGCCCTGAGTGTGGGTGGGGTGCTCTGTGAGGCCTGGGGCATAGAGGGACACACATTCTGTCCTCCACCTGTGCCCACCCCGTCCACATAGGCCGGGATGAGGACTCTACTCCAGGTCTTGAGGGCCAGGCTCTGTGAGAAATCTCTTCCTACTCCCAGTGCTCAGAGGCCTCAAAGCTTGTCTTTGTCCTTGAGGTCTATTTGTGCTCAAAAGAATTTGGTCCTAGACTAGCAGCAAGAGCAGCACCTGGGATTTATTAGAAATGTAAATGCTAGGGACTTATTCCTGGCCCCTCTGACCCAGACCCTGGAAAGGAGAGAGGGGAGCTGTAAGGAGCAACAACCTGTGTTTCTACATTTTTTAAAACCTTTTTAATTTTATTATTATTTTAAATTTTAGTTTTGGTCTATGCGGATTGAACTCAAGGCCTCTGCACATCCTCAGCCATTATTATTACTAATTTTTTTTAAAGACAAGGTCTTGCTAGGGGCAGGTGCTCAGTGGCACCACGCCTGCCTGGCAAGCTCGAGGTCCTGAGTTCCATCCCCAGTATAAGCAAAAATTTTTTTAACACAAGATCTTGCTAAGTTACTAAGTTGCTCAGGCTGGGCTTGAATTTGCCAGTCCTCCTGCCTCAGTCTCCCAGAGTGCTGGGATTGCAGGCATGCCCCACCATGCCTGGCAGTAACCTGTGTTTCAACAAGCCCGAAGCTGATTCTGATGTAGGCAGAAGCATGAGAACCACTGCCCGGGCCCATACTAGGCCACTTGAGCTTTTAGAATCTGTAGATTTATCTCCCCCTCCCTGACTGTGACCAGCCTAAAGCCCTGTCATCAGATTCTCCTTTGCAACTTCCCAGAAGGCCCAGCACAGAACATGTACAGAGAAAAATCGAATCTTACTGAGGAGGGTACCAAGGACACAGAAGAAGTGTGTCCTGTGAAAGGTCACCATCAAGCATCAGTGCATCACACCACCCACACTGTCACCCACCACCAGCACCCCACACACAACACACACGCATGTACACACAGTACCCTAAGGGCTCTCACAACAAGTGACTTGGGTTTTCAGGGCCGCGCTGGGCTCTCTGCACTGTTTTTGAACAGGGCGTACCCTGACCATGATGTCTTCCAACCCTGTCTCACCTGGAAACTTTGACTCATCTTTGATGACTCATCTCAGACTCCATTCTTCCTCCCTTGGGCATACAGATTCCACCAGAAGGCCTTCTGCCTTTCTATGCCCACCTCATGCTCATGTGAGCCTTTCTGGCAGCCTGCATGGTCCTGGCATAGAATAGACGCCACTGAGTGTGTAAGTGGTGCTGTAAAATGAATTTTAAAAGTTAGACTTTTTGTGTAGAGATAAGCATTTTCTCTAAACTTTCTGTTGCTGAGCACATAACCAACAACCTCTCTTCTCCTCAGCTCTGATGAAGTGGCAGAATATGCAAGATGCTAACCCCAGGAGGCAGGAGCCTAGTTTTTCTGTCCACAGGAAAGGGCCATTGGCCCGGAGACGGCTGGAAACTAACACACCATAGAGATCTACAGCGTTCCTCTGCTGCCCTTCCCTCTGTTCCTTGCTATAAAAGACCCTTACCCACCTGCACACTGTGAGATGGTGGTTTTGAGGCAAATGGGCCTCTCCATCTCCTCGGGGCTAGCTTTCTATAAATCCTTTTTCCTTTTTTAGCAAAATATATGGCCTCCTTTGATTTGGTCAGTGGCGTGCCATCACACATAAGTGCATGAACCTAACCTGTAACAAGTGCCATCAGTGGACAAAAGTACAGAGTTTAGAGTGCTGAAAATAAAAGATCACCCCCCCACCCCCCCCAAAGAAAGTGAGTTCAAAACAAGGTCTTTTGACTTCCATCCCAGGTTGCTTCTGTGGGCAGCTCACCCTGCCTTCCTACCCTATCATCTGCCTCCAGCTGGCTCAGTACCTGTGTACAAACATCTATGAGTGACCATCTCTCTGGTGCCAAATCTGGCAGCAGATCATGTCACTGTCTGAAATACCAAGAGCTGCTTTCAGTGGCTGCCGAGTCCCCTGACCCTTTGCCTTGAGCTCCCAAGGCAAAGCCTCAAGCTTTTTCCATGGTTAGGATAGCAGCCGGGAGATTGCCTTAATAATAAAAAATGTTAGGAACAAATAATAGCTCACACATAGTACCTTTGGTTTGCCAAGACTGAAATACTTCAGTGAACTAAATAACATAATCCTCCCCAATGCCCTGGCATGTGAATATTACTAGTTTCCCTGTTTGAACAGATGGGAGAATCGAGGCACAGAGGCTACTTAGCAGGGATAGGATTTTAACCAGGCCTTTGGCTCTAGAGCTCCTGTTTTTCATGACTATGTTATACGGAAAAACATCCATCTGTGACTTAAATATTCTTTCAGCATTTTAATGTTTACAAAGTGAGTTCAAATCCATCACTTTATTAACCATTTGTATTAAACCAACAAGGGAACTGAGGCTCAGGAAGACTAAGGGACTTTAGCAAGGCCACAAGTGTCGGGAATTGGCCTAGTCCACCCTGTGGAGCCTGCTTCTTTTGCCTGTGAACCATTCATTTTCTCACTCACTCATTCATTCTTTCATCCACTATGAAATGAGACAAAGGTTGAATGCTGTGCACACTACCCTCCCTCTCTGTTCCTCGGTGAGCAGCAGCTCGTGCTAGGATGGGGCAGAGTTGCTGGAGAGGCAGGGATCCCCTTCTGAGAGCTGATTCCTTTTCTAGAGGTTCCTAAATATACCTACTCTGGGTGGGGAAACCGAGTCAAAGCTCTCTGACTTCCCCAGTTAGGAGAGGGGCTCTCTGAGCCACCACAGGCCCAGGCGTCTCGCTGATTGTATGGAGTTGTTACTGGCCATTTTTTGCAGCACTCAGTTGGGTCAGTGGATCAGTGTAGCTGGGTCCACAGCAGGACCTGAGTCCCTTTGCTCGAAAAAGACCTCATTTATCCTGCCAGGCTCCAAGGACCCTCTGGTCATCTTACTCCCACCTTTGACTAAAAAGAGACTCCAGAAGGGATGATGTAGACACATTTATTAGGTGTTTACGGGACTGGTCCACATGGGTCTGGGTTGGAGGCAGTTGCTTCCTCAGGACTGCCTGGAATATCACTGGCAGTCACTGTGGCCATAAAGCAGTGCTGGAAGAGCCGTCTGGAGTTCAAAGCCCTTCTCTCATTGCTTTCCAGCCGTGGGTTCAAGCCGTAATTGTGCCCAAGAGGGCTCTCTCCCCGCACCTCCATCACCATGCCTGTGTTCGTGCCTTGGTGGACAGGGGGCACCTCCTTGAGGCCTGAAAAACAGGGAGTGTCCCCACCAGAATCACAGCCCAGGCTGGCTCCTCTAGCGCTTACCTCGAGCAGTGCGCTACTTTCAGAGTCTTAGTTACACAGCATTCAGTTAACAAAGATTCACTGATGATTCACACGCACAAGGAGCTGTTGATTGTTTGCTCTGAATTTAGAATTTGGGCAGAGGACAGATGATAAATGATTGTTAGCAGTAGGAAGACTGGACTTCACCATAACCCTGTGAGGTAGGTACTGTTAAAAATTCCTGTTGAAGACAGAAATACAGGCTTGAGACACAGCTAGTATGCAGAGGGATCCTGGGTGTTTTTAAACATATTGATTCTCTTCATTGACTGCCTTATCCTCTTTCTTCCTCTCATGTCTGAGCTCACAAGGAAGCTCAGTTGTCCTTTTCACCCACTTCCATTCATGACTTTTTCTGTGTGACTTACTTGGTTTCTGCTCCTACCGCGCCTTAAAACTTTTCTGCTCTAGCACTACAGAAACAAAAATCAAAAAGCCCAGAAAACATTTTTGTCACTAAATCCCATGGTCACTTGTCCCTCCTTATCTCCCTTGACTTATCAGGAGCATTTGACACAATCAAGCATCCGTGCCTCTTTGGATAAAGCACTGTATCAAGTGTGTGAGCCAGAAATTCAAGTCATCTCTCACACCTTCTCTGCCAACCCTTTCCCAACCCAGGCAGTACCTCAGGTCCAGCTGACTCCATGTAATCACCATCCGCCACACCCACCTATTTCTCTCTGTCCTCAAGGCCACCACCTTAGGTCAGGTTTCATCTTTGCCTAGACACCTGGAACAGCCTCTGGCTAGGCTACCTCCAGTCCTTCCTCCACGCTGTAGCAAGAGGGTTCTTTCTAAGGTCAAGGGAGTTCAGGTGCTAATCTTTCTCAAAGATTAGATCACCTGTGATCTTGAGGTGGCATTCAAAACTCTTTGTGAACTGGCCCATCTTTCCTTTTTGGATTTGCCACACCAAACTTCTCATTTTTCCCTAAATGGACCATTCTCTCATCTCTAGGCCTTTGTGCTGTTTCTTCTGCTGGGAATGGCATGTTACAGCTTCTCTGGCTAGTGAACTCTATAATTTAAGATACTCTGACCCAGAGTATCCAGGAAGAATGGCATCTCTGACACTAAGGGAAGGATAAGTCTCAAGAAGGAAGTACAACCAGGGGTTGACTCTCCAACATCCCCCACAGTGTCCTGTCTGGACAGCAGCAATTATACTTGGGTGGGACTGGCCCATCCCAGCTCCAGGAGTGGAACCTTGCTGAGCTGAACCAATAATGTAGTGCTATCCTTTCCCACAGGAATGGGCATTCAATGCATAGCCTTTCCCAGGCTACAGCCATTGGTTTTAGGGTGGGCACATGACTTAGACGGTCCAATCAGAGTAGAGCTCAAGGCTCCATCTTTTTAAAAATTTCTTGGTGAAGAAAGGGACAGCACCTTCTTTCTCCTCCTGGCTTGATGGGAACAGAGAGCATGTGGCTTCAAGGACTGTGGTGGCCAGTTTATGACCACGAGAAAAGTCACCCCAGGAGAAAGCAGCACAAGACTGAAGGCAAAGGTGAGAGATTCAGAGCAAGGGGCCGCAGGCTGAGCACCGCGAACCTCTTCACAAACCACATCGAAAGTCAGTCCCACTTTGGGATTTCTCACCTCTAGACCCAGAACATTTTCCTTTTTGTTTTGTTTGGAACCTTCTATTTTTAAGTAATTTGAGATTCATAAGAAGTTCAAAAATAATTCACAGAAGCTTCATCTCGCTTCCCTGAAGATAACATCTTACATAACCCTAGGTGCCTTTCGATAATACATGATTAACTATCAGTCTTGTTCACTGTTACCAGCTTTTATGTGTATTTTTTTGTTGTATAATGAAATTTTATCACATATGTAAATTTCTATAGCTACTACTCCCATAATCAGGACAAGGAACTTTCCCACCACACTCCCCCTTTATAGCCAGGCCTGCCTTTTAAACCTAACTCCAGGGGTCGGGGATTTAGCTCAGTGGTTTCACCGCCTGCTGTACAAGCATAAGGACCCGAGTTCGATGCCCGGTACCAAAAAAAAAAAACAACCCCAAAAAACCCCCTCCTAATAACCACTAACTAATGTTCCATAATTATAATTTTGTCATTTTAGGAATATTGTATAAATGATATGTAGCATATTCAACCTTTTTTCATATTCAACCTTTTGAAATTGTTTTTCTTTTCACTCAGCCTAATTAATATCTTTGAGATCCATCTAAGTCATTGCATGTATTGAGAATAAATTTCTTTTTATGGCTGTGTCGTATTCCATGATGTGTTTTATTTGTCCATGGAAAGACATTTAGGTTGTTACCAGTTTGTTTCTGGGTTTTTTTGGGGGGAGGTCCTGGGTGCAAGTGCTCTACCACTGAACTATGTCCCCAGCCCCTTTTTTTAAGAGTAGGAAAATTTATTGAAAGATAGTTTCTGCCTAAGAGAGACAGAAGGGGTACTGGAAAATGGGTTGCCCACCGACCCTGCTTCTCAAAGATGTTTTATGGGACAAAGCCATGAGGTGAGGTGGGTTCAAATTGGGACAAAACAATAGTCAACTAGTAAGATTGCAAGTACAGTTGCTTAGGTAATACTGATCCAAAGAGAAATCACAAGGTGGGCAAAACTATGATCAACCAATAAGATTACAACAAGTATTGTCACTGAGGTAATATTGATTAAATGGGGATCTAATGGGGAAGCAAGTCACATAGTGAGCTTACAAAGAACTGTGCAAGGATTTTTGGCAAGGGGTGGGTCAGGGATCTTTCCTGGAAGATCTTGGTCTCCCAGCCAGGTGATTGATACTTATTTAAAATATCAATCATTGTTATTTATCCTATGTGGGTGTGGTAGTTTCTCTTCTTTTACAATGCTGGCCTACGGTGAATGTGTCTTGATTGTCCTCCTAGTTGCTCACTTGCGCCAGCCCTGTCTAACTGCCTACAGGATGTCTATCTTTCTCCCTGCACTTTTTATTTTGAAACAGTCCTACTGAATTGCCCAGGCTGGCCTGAACTTGTGATCCTCTCGCCTCAGCCTCCCAAGTAGCTGAGATTATAGGTGTGTGCCACCAGCCTAGCTTTCAGTTTTTGTCTATTATAAATAAAGCTGCTATAACCATATGTATAGAGATTTTTGTGCAGACATACATTTTCCTTTTTCTGGGGTAAACACCAAGGAAGTGTGACTGTTGGGTTTGTGTTTCAGAGTAGGCAGCATCAGCATATCAGGTCCTAATCTGATGATATCTTATCTGGTAAAGCTTTGTAGGAATGATAAAATTAAGGATAAGGTGATAGTCCTGGATTATCCAAGTGGACCCTAAATATCATCACAAGTCCCCTTCTAAGAGAAAGGAGGTGGTAGACACACAGAGAGGTAGTGATTGGAGGACATAGGTAGAGGCTGGGGTGTCACAGCTCCAAGCCACAGAAGGTGCAGTCGCTAGAAACTGGAAGAGGCAAGGGACAGAGTATTCTCTAGAGCCTTTGCTATCAGCTAGGAAACTACTTTTGAATTTTTGGTTCTCAGAACTAAGAAAGAATGAGCTATAGTTCTCAAGCCACCATGTTTATGACGATGTGTTGCAGCATCCCAAAGAAACTAATATGTATAGCAAAACTATGTTTATCTTTAAGAAAAACCCTAACTGTCCTCCGAGGTAGCCGTACGGTTTTATGTCACCTCCAGGAGTGTGTCTGAGATCCAGGCCCTCTGTGACCTTGCTTGTATGCTCTGAGCCTCTGAGTGTTCCCCGATAGGTGTGCAGTTTATGACTGTGACACTGGAGTGTACTTCCTTCATAGCTAGTGAAGTTGTGCAGATTTTCATTGCTTACTTGCTATATTTCTATATCCTCTTCTAGGAAATGTCTGTTCAAATCTTCTGCTCAATTCCTAAAGGGAGTGTTTGTTTTCCTCATGTTGAGTTTAGAGTGTTTTTTACATATTCCGGACAAGTCCTTTTTTGTGTGTGTGTGTGCTGGGGAGTGAACCCAGAGCCTCACACGTGCTAAGCACACACTCTGCTACTGAGCTACATCCTCGGCCAATTTTCATCCTCTTGACAGAGTCTTTCTCTGAGCAAAACTTTTAACTTTTGATGAATATTAACTTTAGTTAATTAATTAATTTTTAATGTTTTGTACTTTGGGTGCCTTATCTAAGAATCCTAACCCCAGGTCATGAAAATGTTCTCCTGTTTTCTTTATTATCATTTAAAATAAAATTGATTTTGAAATAATTTTTATAAAAAGTATGAGTTTTAGGTAAAGGCTTATTTCTTTATTATTATTATTATTATTATTTGGTACTGGGGATCAAACTCGGGTCCTTGCGCTTGTGCAGCAGGCAGTGAAACCATTTATTATTTTTTTTATTTTTAACTTTTTTTGTGGTACTGGAGTTTGAACCCAGGGCCTTGACCATACTAAGTAAGTGCTGTGCCACTGAGCTACATCCCTTGCCTTTTAAAGTTTATCTTGAGTCTTCAAGAGTTTATGGAGAGTCTTGCTAAATTGCCCAGGCTAACCTTGAACTTGTGATCCTCTGCTTCAGCTTCCCAAGTAACTGGGATTACAGCCATTTGCCATGTGCCCAACAAGGTTTATTTACTTTTTAACCTATTACAGTCTAGTTGTTCTAACACTATTTATTGAAAAGACACTTCTTATTCAGTTGACTTGCTTTTGCACTTTCATCAAAAATCTACAAATTTATGGTGTGGATCTGTTTCTAGACTCTATTTTCATCTATGTCTGTCCCTCCTCTAATACCACCCTGTCCTGATTACTGCTGGTTATAGTTGCTGTATAATAAGCCTTAAAATTGGGTAATGTGAGTTCCTCTTTGTTATTCTTTTTCAATTTTATTTTAGCTATTGTAGCTCCTTTGTCTTCCCATAAAATTTTTAGAATCAGTTTGTCTTTACAAAAATCTGTATTTTCCTTTTAAAGGTACTTGGAATTGTTCCCAGAGAATGATGAGCTATTCGGCCTTTTGGTTTTTGTTTCTGAGAAAGGATCTCACTAAGTTGCCCAGTCTGGCCTTGAACTTGTGATCCTTCTGCCTCAGCATCCCAAGTAGCTGGAATTACTGATTTGTACCACCATGCCCAACCAAAAATAGGCTGCAATTTTTATGTTTTGGTTTATGAATACAATATGTCTCTTTAATTTCCTTCATCAGCATTTTGTAGTTTTTTGGTACCAGGGATCGAACTCAGGACGATCCCTGCTTGTGAGGCAGGCAGTGGAACCACTGAGCTAAATCCCTGGCCCAGCATTGTGTAGTTTTTACCATACAGATCCTGTACATATTTTGTTAGATTTATACCTATTTCATTTGGGGGGAAGTAACTGTAAATAGTATTGATGTGTTCTTAATTTTGGTTTCAATTTTTATTGCTAGTAAATAAGGTTTTAACCTTATATACCCTAACCTTGCTAAATACGTTTATTAATTCTAAGACATTATTTTGTACATGTGTTTTGTAGATTCCTTGGGATCTTTTGTTATGTTTTTTGTTTGCTTGTTTTCAGAACTGGGGATCAAGGGCCGGGGATTTAGCTCAGCAGTTTCGCCACCTGCTGTGCAGGCGCAAGGACCGGAGTTCAATCCGCGGTACCAAAAAACAAACAAACAAAAAACCTGGGAAACAAACAAAAAAACTGGGGATCAAACTCAGGACCTTAAGCTTGCAAGGCAGGCTCAGGGCCACTGAGCTAAATCGCCGCCCTGGGATCTTCTGTTATGTAAGCTTATAGTGTATGGTATTCCAATTGGTACAGGGATATAATTCAACCTTTTATTCGATACAAGAATCCCCTTAGCTGAATCCCACGTGTAGCCGTTTTCTGATTTCCTTCCACAAATACAGCTCCGGATTTTTTTAAACAAAGGACCACAAATCGATGAACCAAAAAAGTCTCAGAATAACGGGGCTGGAAGAGTATTTCAGGCTTACTATAAATAAGCTCTTCCTTTATTGAATCAACATCTGCCTCCCTACAGCTTCTGCTATCAACCTAGCTCCTCAGAAAATATCTGCCTCTCCCGCCTCTGAACAGCCTTGCACAGATCTGAGCTCCTCATCGGTGAGCTCCGAGTTTTCGCTGTCCAAGGCCAAATCTCCCCAGCTGTTCAGCTCATCCTCACGTGACCTGATTCCCAGACCTGAGCTATCACCTGCCTGGGCTCCCATTCAGATTGGTCAAAGACCCTTTCAGCAGTTGGCAACCAGGACTCCAGGGAATCCCTTGGGAGTTACACGATGTTGGCTCAAGTTCTCATTTTGCTACTAAATCATTGTACACCTTTCCTATATCCTTCATGACAGATTATGATGTGGCTTTATATTGTGCCTTACTTGTACATTTAAAACTAAATATCTTCATTCCCTTCCATTTCCTAAATGTTTAACTGATCTTTTTGGTAAGAGAATCAGAGCTATTACAAAAGTATCATGATATGGTTTCACATTCCCTCTCTTTTTTTTGTTTTTTTGGGGGTTTTTTTGGTACCGGGGATCTAACTCGGGTCCTTGCACCTGTGCAGCAGGCGGCGAAACCACTGAGCTAAATCCCTGGCCCCATATTCCCTGTCTTTATAGTTATTTTATATTTGTATGAAAGACCAGTTTTGAATGGTCTTTGAATATGAGGAGGAAAAGATTAGCAGTAATTTCACTACATACATCCCTTTCACTTTCATGAATTTGTCATACATCTTCTTTCTGATGCTTGACTTTATTTGCTTTCTAGCAATAGTCTGCATTTAGAGAAAGATGTGTTCCATTAACCTGCTTGAAATTGACTTATTTCATTTCCCAGAACTTTTTAGATAGAAGAGTACACATTTTGTTTGTTTTATACAACAGATGACAAGTCTCTTTAAAAGAAACAGAAGTATAGTACTTTTGAAATACAATGCTGTTAGTTTGGATTTCTTTTTTTATATATAATATTCATACACTTATCTGATGCTTACCTTCATTAATAAATCTGTTAGTTTATTCACCAAAAATAAATAAATCATTGTACAACTTTGTACCAACCTCTTCTGTCTGGATCTCAGCTACCACTTCATAAATGGGGTAGAAACTAGGGCTAAAAGATAGGTAACAGGAAACAGGGAGATACTATAGATATTTTGCAAATGAGAAGGGGACCAAGATTGGAGGGAGACAGAGAGGAAGTAAAAGAAATTAAGTAAAAGAAATTAATTGTGTTGTGAATGTGTACCAACTCCCCACGATGAATGTAATTATGATGTATGGCACATATGGGCTAATAAGAACAAAAATTTAAAAAAGAAAGTAAGGCTAGCCTCACTTTTCTATTTCTTTTGAATTTCAAGTTTTAAAGGGTTATAGATATACAGTAAGTAGACTGCACTTACTAAGTACTATTTTTCCCCCATTTTGTATTACCAAGGAGTCCTGATGAGCAGGGAGAGCACGTTAATTATACCACTCCCCTACTCCCACCCTGCCCATCCCCAATCCTCACTGGAAAATACACAATTCTTGCTCAAAGCAGCAAAGCAACTAGGTCCCAGTAAAACCTTTGCACTAACTGGGGATAGTGGCACATGCTTATAATCCCAGCATTGAGGGAGACTGAGGCAAGAGGATCACATGTTCAAGCCCTGCTTGGGCAATTTGGCAATTTGGTGAGACCCTGTCTCAAAATTTTAAAATTTTTGAAAAGGGTCATGGATGTAGCTCAATGGAAAGGACGATGGTTCAGTTTCCAGTAACATAAATAAGCAAACCTTTGGAATATTTTATATTCCTCAAGAATCACCACTTGGGGGCCAGGGATTTAGCTCAGTGGTTTCGCTGCCTGCTGCGCAAGCACAAGGACCAGAGTTCGATCCCTGGTACCAAAAAAAAGAATCCCCACTTGGTATGTTTGTTTGTATATTTGGGAACCCTCAGGCAATGAGAATCCCAAATTGGAACCCTACAGAGCAGATGATAAAAAGCTACCTCTAAGATGTGAAGACCGGTTTGTCTTGTCCAACTGAGAATGAAGAAGGACCATGGCTCTTTTGCTTGTACTTTTTGTACTTTTTTTTTTTTTTGTACCAGGGATCGAACTCGGATCCTTGCGCTTGTGCAGCAGGCGGCGAAACCACTGAGCTAAATCCCTGACCCCAGGTTTTGTACTTCTGTTGGGACTTGAGATTCATACTCCTTTTTTAGCAGCCACATCACACTTGTGGGTTACACTGGGCTTGTGGACCCAGGGTGTCTTTTATACATGGCTCTTTCCCAGAGTCCAGGGCTTCCCTCACATCTGTATCCTGGGGCCCTTAAATGCATAACCTCAGGTCTGTAGAGAAACCAAGGGAATCAGCCAGTCTCACACATTCCCAACTCTTCCTTCGGCTAGTATGTAATACAAGTTATTAAAATCCGATGATAGTGCTTGGGGTAGTGGCAGATCTTTGAAAACTATCTTCGAAAAACTGCTGGCTTTTTTTTTTAGCCAAGAGGTACTTGAGAAAGAAGGAAACCTACAAGCAAACATATCGAGTTCTATTTTAAAGTTACGATAAAAAGATCTATGTTTCCTAAATGGCTAAAATGCATTGGTATAATTATCTTATTTGATTCTCCTAACAAGTCTCTGTAACAAGTGTCTGAGGGGGGTATTATTCCATACTATGGAGACTCAGAGAAAATCAACATTAACATAGCTACTAGGTATTGGATCCACCATTTACTTTTTATTTTGCTGGATTTCAAAGCTTGTATTCTTTCCACAGAGCAAGCACAGCCCTGGTCCAGGTCCTGTGCAGCGTCCTGGGGATACAAAGGCATTTAATACATGGTTCCTAGCAGTGTCTTTGAGAAGATCAACAGGTAAAAATCTAAGTGCCTAATAATAATTCAACAAGAACTGTATTGGGGCTGAGGATGTAGCTCAGTGGTAAAGCACATGTTTAGCATGTGTGAGGCCCTGGGTTTGATCCCCAGCACCACAACACAGAGAGAGAAAGAGAGGGAAAGACTGACTGATTATTGAAAGTCCACCATCTGAAAGTCTTACATCTGTACCATGTGAGCATAATTTCTAATTTTTGCAACAACTTGTTGGTAGGTATGATTGTACACACTAATATATATATATATATATATATATATATATATATACACACACATACACACACACATATATATACACACACACACAGATAGATAAATAGATAGATATAGATATATATATGGGGGTGCATGCTGGAGATTGAACCCAGGGCCTTGTACATGCAAGGCAAGTGCTCTATGACTATGGACATTTTACAGAGTAAACTGAGGCCTAGAGTAAAGAAACTTGCTTAAGACCACACAATGAAAACAGCAAACCAAAGATTAGTGCCAGGGTTGTGCCTATGGCTGTGCCTACTGGCCTTTCTCCAAGGACCTCTGTAGCCAGTCTTTCTTGTTTTCATTTGGTACCGGGGATCAAACTCAGGACCTTGCGCTTTCGAGGCAGGCAGCATAACCACTGAGCTAAATCCCCGGCCCAAAAGTCCTCTTCTAATGGAACTCTTTCTCTAAGGCAGAAAATTAGAAATGGAATTGGTGAGTTATACAGTGTACACATTTTTACTTTAAGTATATATTGTCAAATTGCTCTACAAATTAGTGCACGCTTAACAGCATTATGTGAGAGTATGTGTCTCTTCCTCTAACTTTTTCGCTACTAATATGATCTATCTCTGGACTTTGGCCAACGTAACTGTTTAAAAAAGGTGTGTCGTTCTTTTTTTTTTGTACCAGGGATCAAACTTGGGTCCTTGTGCTTGCAAGGCAGGTGGTGGACCACTGAGCCAAATCCCTGGCCAGGTGCATCATTCTTAAATTGCATTCTCTGGATTATTAGAAAGGTTGAGCATCCTGTCTTCTTGTATTGGACATTTGTATTTCTTCTTTTTTTGTAGATTGCATTTTTATCAATTGTTTAAAGGTGTAGCTATGTATTCTGGATATCAATCCTGTCTTGTTTTTTGTTGTTGTTGTTTTTTGGCACCGGGGATTGAACTCAGGACCTTGAGCTTGCAAGGCAGACACAGTGCCTCTGAGCTAAATCCCTGGCCCAATCCTGTCTTGTTTTTAAGACAGCCAATCTTATTCCTCACAATAGTTATATTCTATGAAATCAACACAAACACTGAAGTAGCAAGTACCGAATCACTGCTCTCTGGAGAAATACAAGGTTGGCTCTTGTGTGCATCTGGTCACAGTGTTTTTGTCAACTGATCAATACATACTTACATACTTAATTACATACTTAATAATAATTAATACATACTTACATACTTAATTACATAATTAATACTTTGTGTGTTTCTATTTAAAGACACCTTATTTAACATATGGTTTTGATTTATTAACATTGAATTCAGAGGGCCGGGGATTTAGCTCAGTGGTCTTGGCGCCTGCCTTGCAAGTGCAAGGTCCTGAGTTCAATCCCTGGTACCAAAAAAAAAAAAAAAAACCCAAACAAACAAACATTGAATTCAGAGCCAACAGTACCGTAACTTGTGCCTGAATCAAGTTTATCTAACGCATGGATTTTCTCTGCAAAGGCACAGCACAGCCTTCTGGTGTCCTCAGGTGCACCATGCTTGGAGACCATTTTAAACAGTGAAATAATTAACAAACACCACAAAAATGTGTCCAACATGGCACTTAACAGACTGCAAAGAGCACGCTTGTTTACAGCATGATAGCTGAAACAAAAGCCAGAAGATCGTCTTGTTCAATGCTAACTGGGAACATGTGAACCTCAAATCTGTTGCCACTATGCACATGACCTTGGGAGTGCCTTAAGCATTGATTTAGAGATTATAAATATTTTTTAGTAAGTAGGCAAGTTTGCAAATATGGGATCTGAGAATAATGAAGATTGACTGAGAGTGTGTATATGGGCCGAGGATTTAGCTCAGTGGTTTCGCCCCTGCTGCTCAAGCACAAGGACTTGAGTTCAATCCTCAGTACAAAAAAAACCAAAAAAAAGTGATTAAGAGTGTGTGTATTTATGATTTTATATATATATATGCATATCTATCTATCTATCTATCTATCTATCTATATCTTTACAGTCCATCAGTTGTTTTTTAACTTTATATGTGTATCTTTTATATTCTTTGTATTTGATTTAGGCAGATCTGCCAGTTTGTTCATTATGTTCAGGTTTTCCTCTGTCCCACTGCTGCTGCCTCCCAGGAATTCCTGCACCTCATGCTTTCCAATGCTTAGACACTGCAGGCTCATCCCTGCAGACAGTCGTCAGAGTCTGGGATGGTTTCTTGGGCTATCCCTTGTTGCATATGTATTGTTAAATTAGAAAAGTAACCTTTTATAAATGATGGCATTCAGCCCTGTCCTTCCCCTGAGGCTTAGCAACTATCCACCTGCCCTCTTCCTCCTCCCCAAGGTTTGCCACTCTTGCCACCTCGACTTAGCTGAAATTCCTCCCCCATCCTGCTGGGCCATCTTCCCCACAGTGCCCCAGCATGAATGACCCAGGCATGGCCTACCTCTCCCTCACTCCTGCCCACACATCTTTACCTTTATCTGCCCTTCTTTGGGACACCTTTCCTCCTCTATTTTGCCTAATCATTTTCTTCACTAACTTGACAGTAATCATTAATGCATTTGGTATCAAACAATTTTGTCCTTATTTATATACTTCCACAGACTGTGCGGTGGATGGAAGAAAGAACATGACTAGAAGCAGAAGGGCACGGGCTGGATTTTACCTCACCATTTGTTAGCTGTGTCACTTTCGGCAAGTCATCCAACCTCTCTCAATCTGTAAAATGGAGGTAATAATACTTTTGTTGTTGTTGTTGTGACTCAGGATTGAATGCAAGGCCTTTGCACTGAGCAAAGAGAGCACAGAGTCTCACTAAGTTACCCAGGCAGGACTTGAATTTGCAATCCTGCCTCCACCTCCCCAAGTGTTGGGATTACAGCAGTGTGTCACCATGCTTGGCTTCAGAAAGATCTTTTGCCAGTAGGGACTGGTATGTTTCAGTTTCTTGCAGGAGGTTCTAATAATGTATGCAAAAAAAGATTTATGAGGGGCTGGGGATTTAGCTCAGTGGTTCTGGCTCCTGCCTCCAAAGCACAAGGTCCTGAGTTCGATCCCTGGAACCAAAAAAAAGATTTATGAAAAAGCAACTCCTTTTTCCCCTTAGAAGCTCTCAATAGCCTATGGTGATGAAACAATGATTGGGCAAAACATCAGATAATCAAAAAAATTCCTGTATTGAGTTTCTAAATTGTGTAAATTGTGAGGATGGGGAGCAGCAAATTTCTCTTACTAATTCTGTTTTGTTTTGGATAATATTATAATTAATTTACATTCCTCAAGGCTAGAATTAAACATCATCTACCATATGGACTTGTCTTTGTGTGATGGTGGAACACCAGCTACATTAAATGACTGATAAACACTGAGCCCGTGAAGATTTGGGATGGAAATGTTCAGATCATGAACCTTCTGAGAAATGTGCTGCTCCCGCTGCTGCTGAATATTCCAGGAACTCAGGAGGCAAACGTTCCGAACATCACTTCTAATCATCTCCCCTCTGTAAAGATGTTGACCTGCTGAACCCAAGGAATGCTTGTGGCCTCTTTCTTACCTGTCATCTGTAAGCTTAAGCCTGGGTCCAGCTTCTTTCGGGGCTTTGAGCAGATGAACAGGTAACAAAGGACACAGGCTGTGACAATGAAGGCCAGGAGGACTGCTGCTGCTATGGACAGGCCCACCAGAGCACCGACACTGGGGAGAGAAAAGCACAGGATGCTGAATGTCAAGGGCTCTGGGAGCAGCACGCTATTGAAACGTGGCAGGTGTTATAGGAATTGGCTTTGAGTTCTGCTCTGTGAACGTCTGTCTTACACAGGCTTCCTGTACCAAGCATGGGAAGAAACACCTACTCTACCAGAGACTTACCACATGCATAGCATGTGCTGGGACTTGGTGTCACCATGTGCTGGAACTCGGTGTGTGTGCCTTCCCTCCCTGCTTTTCTCCTCCTGCTCCCACCTACCCCAGGGAGCCGAAGATGGTCTTAAAAGCCCCTCGCTCCCGAAATCAAAACACATAGTAGAGCTTAGTTAAAAACCAAGTGTCCTTCCAGCCTCAAAGTAATTTCTGACCTAGTGTCCATGGTCCTCCTGACCACATCAGTGTCAACTCGACCTGTGAAATATCTCCCCATTGCTGGCTCCCACCCTCTCACCCTCCAATCTCACTGCCTCTGCCAAATTCAGGCCTTGGTCACTTGGTATGAAGGGAAAAAAGCCCATTTTTTTTCTCACGTGGCACTCAACACACTTCCAACACCAGATATATGGGTTTCCACATACACACACACCAAGCTATTCTCCAGTGGCTACCAGCCATATATATGTTCTATTATTTAACTCACTTCTGACACTGCCTATCTGGAGATAGTATCAGATTCCACAGGTTGAGGGTTCAGTCCCATAAAACTGCCTCCCCCATTTCAGATGCCAATCGCAAGTTGAAGGTTGTCACTTATGATCCAACAGTTATCAATTGGTGCGCCCACAACCCCTTCCTTGGGCTTAATTTACTAGAGTGGCTGGCAAAATTCAAGGAAACACTTATGTTTATCAGCTTGTCACAAAGGATTTAGACAAATGGCAGATGTGAAGAGATGCATAAAGGAAAGTACAGGGGTCGCTGAGGAGCCTCTGTGTCCTCTCCAAGTGCGCCACCCCCAAGGGACTCCCACGTGTTCAGCGATCCTGAAGCTTTCCGAACCCTGGCCTTTGACTTTTGACAGGGGCTTCATTCCATGAGCATGGCTAATCACATCACTAACCATCACTGGGCACCTCAACCTTCAGCTCCTGTCCCCTCGCTGGAGGTCAGGGCTGGGGTAGGACCCATGATTGGTTCCCCAGCAGCCAGCCCCATCCGGAGGCTCTCCAGGAGCCCAGGAGTTGCCTCTTTAGAATACAAAATAGTCCTATCATCTTTTGGGGGCTCTAAGTCAGGAACTAGAGATCAAAGACCAGCTATTAGAACAAAAGACTCTCCCTAGCAGCCTTATCTACAAGGTCTTGGGAGCTCCATCTCAGGACCCGGGAGCAAAGACTATATATTTATTATCATATTATAATATCATATCTGGTCTCTAGAAAACTGCCTCTTGGCTCATTTAGGGGTCACCATCCTTCCTATTTTACATGACTGGCCCCCATTATCTCCCCACTGTCCTTGGAGCCCCACTTCAAATATCCCATCCTTAATACCCTGCTTAGCCTTCCTCCTCTCCCTTCCATTTGCCCGATGCCAGTTGAATCTATACAGGACGCTTTCCTTTTGGCCAGGCAGCCTGGTATAGTAGGTACAGAGCAGAGGGCTTTAGGAACAGACCCGCCTAGGTTAGGGACCCAGACTAGATAGTGACTTATTGTGAGAGCTTAGTGAAGGTATTTACCCTTTTGAACCTCAGCTTTTTTGTCTGAAAAATGAGAATGATCGAAACATAGCACCTCACAGGTGGCAATAGGATGAATGACATTGAGATATTTTTGGCACATAGTAGGTGTTCAACATACCCCTCATGTGTCCTCTGAAGGCAGAGTCAAGCCATGTTTAATCAGCTTTGTCTTCCTCAAGGCTTGGCATATGGTAGGAGGCTGTTAAACACTGCTGAGTATCTACTATGTGTCAGGCACTGTAGGATACTAATGGGAAGGTGCTATGGCTTGAATGTAGATGCTCGCCCCCCAACCTCATGTGGTCATAGGTGAGGCTTTTCAGAGGTGGCTGGATCTAGAGTGTGTGATACTGGGGTTGAGGATGTGATGCTGGGATTGATTCATGGTGTGATGCTAGGATTAAGGGTGCCCCACCCTTTGTGTGAGTGTTACCTGCCCTAATGGTGGGTAGCTTAGATAGGATATAAGGGATAGAAAGAGGGTCACTTGTCATTTTCTACTTGTTGCCTTGCTGCCCTCTGTCTTCAGCCTGCCACGAACTTTCTCCTCTGTGATGCCTCTCTCCATGCCACCCTGCTTTGGAGCCAGCCAACTATGAACTGAAACCTCTACAAACTGTGAGCCAAATAAGCCTTTCTTCTTTTAACTTTGGATGTTGGGTATTTTGTCTCAGCCATGAGAAAAGTAACTAAGACAGAAGTGAGAGACAGGTACCAGACATTTTTTCCTGCCTACCCTTTTTCCGTTCTCTTATCTACCCTCCTTGCTGACTCTAGTCTCAGACCCCTACCCTTGCTATTTCTGTAAGATCTCATCCCCTCGAGCTGATGGTTAATTTCCACTAAGACATCTTAGAGCTAGATGTGCTGGTACATACCAACAGTCCCGCCTACTTGGGAGGCTGAGGTAAGAAAATTGCTTGAGCCCAGGAGTTCAGGGCCAGCCTGGGCAACATGGTGAGACTCCACCAGAGTTTTAAAGAGTTTGCCTTTCTATCACTAAAGAAATTATTGAATATCTTTGCAGTGGAATAATATAGAGCCATTAAAACATGTTTTAAATAATATTTAAGATCATGGAATAATTCTTATGAGATCATGTTAAGTAAAAATAGCAAATCACATTACTAAATATACAGCACAGCCCCAATTTAACTAAATAAATATAAATATGTACATATATATACATATATACATATATATATGTGTGTGTATATATATATATGTATATATATGTACGGTTAGATGAAAATACACCAAACTGCTAATATGTGTCTCTGGGTACAGTACAGCTGTGGATATTCTGTCCATGTCTCCCATGTCTCCTTGGTTCTTATCACAGTGGAAAATTCCAGTCAGAGTTTCAACTGCCAGCCTCTGTATCTCTGCCTGAGGGATTTCCTGGACCCAGAACAGGCTCTGTCTGCACACTGGGCAGGTTAGAAGTGCAGGATAATTAATACCTCTCTCCCCTACCTGACCACAACCAATGACTGACACAAAGTGGTACATAAATACCCAGCTTCCTGGCCCTCAAATGGGATAACCCTGAAGTGTACATTCGACATTGGCTAGCAGAGTTTCACCTCTGGTTATCTTAGTGTGGTCTGCTTGTTAACACACTCACTGCTGGCTTCTCCCCTTCCCTGTCTCACTTTACTACACTCTACTAGGGGTTTCTGGGACCACTTTTCATGTAAACGATTTGCCATCAAGTCTTAGTCTCCTGGGAAATCCAAACTAAGACACTGGATTATCCATGGTTTCTTTCTCTTTTTGTTTCTTCTGTCCTTTTCTTAGTTTTCACATTGAGTACATAGTACTGCAAGTTAATTAATCATTATGTTCTCATTTGAGATTTACTTATTGTTCATCGGGCTGGTAGATTTGTGCTCAGATGGGGACCACACCCTTGATGAGGGACACCTACAGGCACCTAGATGGAAGAGGTCTTTAAAAAGGGTCCTTTGCAGAATGGGTGAGAGAATTGGGGCATGTGTCCCTGACGGGAGGTTAGTCATGGAGCAGGCACTGCCTGTGAAAGGCATTGTCCCTGCTGAGTCTGATGACAGAGAAGTACCCTCCAAGGATGGAACTGGGATCAACATGGGAGGTTCCGGGGGAGGAAACCTGGTTAGAGTTGTTGTTTGGTGCTGGAGATTGAATCCAGGGCCCTGTGAATGCTAAGCACCTGTTCTGCCATCAGGCTATACTCCCACTTCCAGAAAAATCTGTTTTTAGAGTAAGATGAACTCATACTAAGAGAGTTGTGCATGTGGAGGTGATTCTTCAGGAGGTGGCATGTTCCCTGTCTCAGGAGAGGTGGCACAGGATAGCTGGCTGAGCATGCCTCTTGGTGAAGCCAGAGTCCAGCCCTGCATGGAAAATGGATTAAAGAGCTTCTAGCCTTGTAATATTTCACTGTTCTGACTCTGAAATATTAAAAAAGGCAAAACAACTCACTGTGGCCCCTAAGAAAGAACTGGAAGGGCAGCCTAACAAATAAGGACTTTGGAGTCGCAGGTAGTTCTGACTTTGAATCCTGGTTCTGCCACCTGTAAGCTAAGAAATCATTTCCTTCTTCTGACATTCCTTTGCCAAGGTTCTTCCCTCACCAGGTAGGCATAAGGATGAAATGAGATGGTGTACACAGGGCCTGGCCACTAACTTACTCTCCAGCCAGACTACTGCCTTCTGGCTCACATCCTGGTAAAAATGCAAAACTAGTGACAAGAGTGTGTTTGGCAAATGGACTGGATGGAACGATAGTAGCAGCTGCTCCTCCATGGGGCAACTTCATTTTCTGATACACTTCCCTGTTAAAGTCAGCATTTCTCCTCAGCACTCTCTCCAAGGAAACAGTACTTGCCTGGAGATTTTTATTTTTGTGAGGATTAGCTTGTGTGAAAGGGGCCAAGTAGAATTCAGAGCAAAACAAGGTCCCCACCCTACAGTAGCAGGGCTCTGTCAGAAGCACGCTGGAAAGGCTATTTCAGGGTTCAGAGCACACTGACCACCTAGATGTCCTAAGGACCCTCAGTTCCCCTTCTCCGTCTGTGATGTTTATGAACCATCCTCTGTTCAAGCCCTGAAAGAACTGTCCTGCATACTAGAACATTTCAGCTGTCTTTGGGGTCACAGTGACATGGGATGTGACCTCAGAGATCACTGTATCCACTAAAGCATCATCACGCACTCCACAGGGATAGGTTTCCCAGGCAACAGAAGGGACTAAAGAGATGTACAGGGGCGAGAGTAAGGAAGAGGGAAAAGGTCTGGCTGTGTGCTGAAGGGATTGCTCAGCCCCTAGGGCTGCCCCAGTGCTCAGAAAACAATGCAGGGTCAGTGAGCACTTTTCAAGTGATCTGAAAAGATGAGGTTATAAGAGGGCCAGGCCAGGTTTAGACTGTCGTGGAATGGGACACCCCTAGGCTGGAGGCCAGACAATCCCGTGTGTGGATCCCAGCTCTGCCACTTATCATTGAGACCCTCCCAGATAGTAACTTCACCTCTCCCAAGTCTTCCAATCTGCAAAACAGAGAGAAGAGGTGCCAGGGTTGTGTGAAAGCACTGAGCCCTTGAACTAATGTTCCTTACATCAGTCTGCTATAATATTGCTAAAAGATCTTGAAAAAATCACTTTCATACTCCGAGCTTCCCTTCCTCCCTCTGAACCATGAAAAGGAACTCTCTTCCACTGAGCTCCTATTATAGGCACTGATCAATTTCATGTGCATTATTTCCCTTACTCCTTACAACAATTTCACAAGAAAGGTATGACTATCTCCATTTGAAAGATGAGAAAAGAGGCCAGGATATTAAATGAATTTGTAATCCATATAGGTATTCAAACAGAACCAAAGTTTGGACCAGGTTCTGACTATCCCCAAAGCTCCACACTGTATCTGTATTCATAGGTCAGCTCCCGGCTCAGTACTAAATACACAAAGGACCTTCAACAGATACTCCACTGTTTTATTTTAGGTACAGGTTGTAACTCTTTAAATGGACTGGGAGTGCGTCTGGGCAGAGAATAATTGATTTTTGTGCCCCCAGTGTCTTATAAAGTGCCTGGCACAAAGCAAAGGTTACAATGAATGAATGAATATATAGATGAACAGAAAATAAATTAATGATTCATTGGGCTTTAGACATCAGCCTACTGTGCAGAGTCTTAAACCTGGCCATCTGACCACTGTATAGAATTACAGATTGAGGGGCCGGGATTTAACTTAGCAGCACTGCACCTGTCTTGCAAGCGCAAGGTCCTGAATTTGATCCCCAGTACAAAAAAAAAAAAAAAAGAATTACAGATTGAGATTGAGCACTCCAGAAAAACCAATAACATTTGTAATTGTCCTTGGCATAAACCAAGCTGTTTTCACCTCTTACTTCACTTGATCCTTGCCACTGCCTTAGTGGGAAGTCGGGGCAATGATCTATCATTCTCCCTATTCTCCCCAGTGATCGCTCAGAGATTTCAGTGGCATATAATCCTGTCCTTTTCCACTCAGAGGCCATGCAGCCTTTGCTCATATACCTCCAGGGACAGGAAAATCATGATCTACTGAGGTGGCTCACTGTGGTACCTGTTTTCCACAGCAGGTTGGGGATCAGGTCTCATTCTCTCTCTGTGTGACCCGGACAGACTGAGACCTATTGCCTGCTATACTCCACACTTAGGTTCCAGGAATGTCACGGTTGGCCTAACTAATCCCTTCCCTGAACATCTGGGGAAATTGGTGTGCTATGGGAGGGTCTCACCCAAAGTACACCTCTAGTAACACCAAAGCTGGCCTCTACTGTGGCATTATGCCACTGTGACATAACAAACTGGAGGCAGCTTGACCCCCAGGTCTTCTGCCTTCATTTGGGGATGGGATACCAAAGGGTTGGCCCCAAAGGGTTTGGTGCACACTAAGCATTCCGTAGAGTGAAAGAGTAAATATGAAAGGGGTGGATGGGTTGAGGCTGGGTGAGGCTGGGCTGGGGTGTAGCAGGGAGTGAAGATTAAGGTTTATATCATATCTGGAGTCAGGCTGTGGGAGAGAGGGCTGGGGCTGGTGACAGAATCAGGACTGGGATGAATACTGAGGAATGAAAGCCAAGGAGGTAATCCGTGTCCATGTCAGGAAGGGGACCCTGGTGGGCACTTGGATGAGGACTAGGGCAGAGTCTGGAATTCCTTGTGAATGTTGGAGGTGTACTTTTCTGTTGGGAAAAGGGCTGGCATGTGATTTGGAGTCGGGTTGAGGGCGGTGGTAGAATGAAGTGTGGAATGGGGACAGAATGAGGGGTTTGGGGTAGAGCCGAAGTAAATTCAAACATGGTTCTCCACAGTGGTCACGATAAGGGAATAGACCTAGTCGGGCGGGGATTTAGGCTGGGGAAGTTGGGTGATAGGGGGAGAGTAGTCAGTCCTGGGCATGGGGCGGGAGGGGGACGGAGGCGGTGGGTGGGGAGCTGGGCCGAGGGCGAGGTGAGGGGCCAAGGCTGCAGGGGGGTTAGGGCCAGGGCCGGTACCTGAGCCACCACATGTAGTTGTGCTCGTAAGGGAAGAAGCTGTGCGGGTCGTCGCAGCAGTACTTGTGGTCGCGGAAGCCGCAGCAGAAGATGTTGGTCACCTCGCCCCCCGGGCGCGGGCAGCTGAAGCCGTGCACCACCTCCTGCTTGGCGCTCAAGTAGCCGGTGCAGTCGCCGCTCATCGCGCCTCGGGCCCGGACCGCCGGGACGACCGAGACCAAACAGAGCTGGGGAAAGACAGATGAGAGGCAGAGAAAGGCGCGGAAACGCGGCGGGTGGGACCCGAAGCCCAAGATCCGCCAGTGGCCACCAGGTGCTGGGGAGGCGCGGCGAGAAGGGAGGGGCGGGGCGGGGCGGGAGCCGGGGCTCCGGGGAGGCCAGGGGAGGGGTCGGCCCACAGAGCCGCCGGCTGGGGCTGCCCAGGTCCCCAGCACTCCCTGCTTTCCCAGGGTGTGCGCGGGCCGGAGGCCAAGGCGTGGGCTCCCCACCTGCACGGAGCGCCCGCCCGGTGCTGGCGCTGTGCTCAGGCCACGGGAGACCTGACAGGCCAGTGACCACACGGTAAAGTCGATTGGGGACAATTAGGGGACACGACTTCACTTAACCTTCACAACAACCCAGTGAACCAAGGATTTTCAAACCCATTTTTGAGGTGAGAGCCTAGGGTAGAGACAAGCCATTTCCCCGCGGAATTTGAACCCAGGTCTATCTGACTCTGGATCCCTTGTTGCCACTCTCAGAATGTCTTGTCCTTGGGCTTGGAAAGGTCCTCATTTTCAGGCTCCCTTGCCCTCTCTTCCTTTTCCTTGCGCTGCCTCCAGTGCACTGACGATGTCTACGCTGTCCCTGCCACTGGCCAAGGACAAGGGGCAAGTGTGGGTGTAGATCGTCCCAGATGGTAAACCCTTTCCTCTCTTCGAGCAGACCCAGAGGACCTCTCCACCTCTAGAAATTAGTTCAGATCACACTAGCAGTGCTGTCACTAGGCTCAGAGAACCAGTCCAAGAAGCGGTCAGAGCTTCAGTTTCCCCTGTGGATGCTGTGGATAGACTGAGGATCTCTGAGGGTTTTCTTCAGCGGCTCCCGCAGGGCCTTAGCTCTACAAGTTTCACAGCAGGGGACAGAGCAAAAGAGAGTTGATGTGATGCCTTGGGATCCCTAAACCCCCACCACCACCACCTTGGGAATGTGGGAGATGGATCGTGGGGATCTGTGCTCAAGTCCTGCTCTAGCTGCTACCTGCCTTTTCTCTCTGTGCTTCCAGTTCCTTGGCTTCCTACAGGCCAGCTCCACAGATCCAGATGTGTGCCAGGCTCCTGACCTGGGCCTGGGGCCCCAAAAGGCGCCAGATCTGGATCTGTCCCTGAGAAACACACAGGTGGTGGAGGAATCAGACAGAACAGACCATCTCAGGCGGGAAAAATGCAGGGACAGTGGACACAGAGGGACATCATCTGAGGGAGCAGGGAAGGGCTTTGAAGGGATAATGTCCTCAAAGGTCATTGTGAGGTCAAATATGAGAACTGGAGGGGATTGTTATTGTCCACAGCAAATCCCTCCCCTGAGCTCTAGATGTCTGAAGAAGTTGCAGGATGGACCGCTCTAATGGTGATGCACTCTGACCTCTATTTATCAAAAAGAGCATGAGCACTGCAAGAGAAACTGCCAACAGAGCTAAGAGACAACCTACAATGAAGGAAAAAAGTTTTCAGCAATTGTACCTCAGACAAAGGACTACTATCTAAAATATATAAAGAAATGAAAAATATCAGACCCCCCAAATTCAAAGGCCCAATTCAAAAATGGGCATCTGAAATGAACAGACATTTCTCAGACAAACAAGTAAAAGCAGCAAATAAATATATGAAAAAATGTTCAACATCACTGGTCATTCAAGAGATGCAGATGAAAACAACACTGAGATTCCACCTCACCCCAGAAAGAATGGCTGCTATCAAGAAATCATCCAATAACAAATGCTGGGGTGTGTGTGGGAAGAACGGAACCCTTCTCCATTGTTGGTGGGAGTGCAGACTGGTGCAACCACTGTGGAAATCAGTATGGAGATACCTCAAAGAATTAGGCTTAGAGGTCCCATTCAACTCAGCTGTACCCCTGCTGGGTATCTTCCCAAAAGAATTAAAAGAATCGTACCACAGCGAAATATGTGCACCCATGTTTATACCACACAGTTCGTAATGGCAAAAGCTTGGAAACAGCCCAAGTGCCCATCAACTGGAAACTGGATAAAGAAGATGTGGGTTTTTTAATAAAATGGAGTACACTCAGCCATAAAGAATGAGAAACTAGAGACATTTATAGCTAAATGGATGCATATTGAGGCCATCCTTTTAAGTGAAATGAATAGGACACATATGTGTAAATACCGAATAGTTTCTCTAGTGTGAGAAACTGAACGTGTAATTAAGGATACACACGGATGAAATTGCCTAATAACATATTTCTCGGATTGTGTTTCCATCGCGTGTCATACGACTGTATCGAAATTTAAATTAGGGAGAAGCTTGGCTTATGTGGAGTCGGCTAGCTAACGAGTTTTTTTCCAGACCATTATTTGTTCAGTGTTGGTTTTCGGGATCTTTCTGAAACAAATCACATCCTCTGTTGTCTTGTTGGTGCTTGAGATGCTTTTTTAAGTTATATGGAAAAATATTTAAGTGCTTTTCAGTTTTGTTTTGGTTGAGTTCTACTGTATTTGAATATTATTGTAGGTTTTTTCCCCTTGCATTGTTCTTCTTTGAATGGTTTTAATTTTTGTATGTGTGTGTTTGATAATAAAGTTTTGTTTTTTTTTTTAAAAAAGAGCATGAGGGCTAGGAATCCTTGAGGAAAGAGAGAGGCTTCCCTGTCCTGGAGAGCATCCACAGAAGAAAACGCTCAACTCTCCCTTTTGGCAAAACTGGGAAACCTCTGACAATTTCCAAAATCCTTTTTCAGCAGAAAATTAGTTTATTGTTCTTAACAACCCTGAGGGTTCATTGTGTCGCTGAGAGAAATAACAAGCACAATGTCACATAGCAGTCGATGGCCCAGGTAGGACCCATATCTGTCTAATCCCCTTTGGAATCTTTTTTTTTTTTTCATTACCGGGGGTCAAAGCCATGCACTACTGAGCTACATCCCAGCCCTTTATTTATTTATTTATTGGTACCAGAGATCGAACTCGGGTCCTTGCCCTTGTGCAGCAGGCGACAAAACCACTGAGCTAAATCCCCAGCCCCCTTTTTATTTTTTATTTTGAGACAGGGTCCTACTTAGCTTGGCCTCAAATTTGCACTCTTCCTCCCTCAGCCTCCCTAATAGCTGGGAAAATAGCATGTGCCAACAGAGAGTCCAGCACCAGAAAGAAAAATAAGTACAGGAGGGAAAGGCAGGCAGGGAGAACTTACACTTGTGAACACACTGTGAACTGGAAATTGTGCTCTGTGCTTTTCATTGTTTCCTTTAATCTTTACAACAACCCTCTAGAGTCTCCCTCTCTCGATTAAGAAACATTTTTTTAAAAATATTCACTGTAAAACAGCAAATTAGAGGACTAGGAGAGCAACTCAGCGGTAGATTGCTTGCAAGCGTGAGGCCTTGGGTTCCATCTCCAGCACCACAAAAACTAGAAAATACAGATAGACCAAAATAAACTTAAAAAAAAAAAGGAAATCACCCATTATCTTACCAGACAAAAATATCTATTAATAATGGGTGAGGCCCTGGGTTCTATCCCCAGCACTACAAAGAAAAACTATGTCTATAAATGTCTAGGTATAGAGTCTTACACACACACAACCACACACTCACACATGCGCGTGTGCACACACACAATTATGCACCCACTTTATGGATAGGAAAATGAGACCTAGAGTGGTTAAATAATTTGCCCAAGATTAGATGGTAACCAGTTCCAGCCACCTGCTGGGTGCCCTTAGGCTGGTCATTTTCTCTCTCTGCATTAGAAGAGAGGTTTCTAAACAAACAAACAAAAAACCCCAGAGATTTCTGCAGATGGAAGAGAGTGAAGCCTGGCCCCAGGAAAGCCCCTTCTACACAGTGCTCAAAACAGCGTCCTCTTGACCTTGGCCTCTTGACTTGTTTAGGGAGCTGCATCCCTTTTAAGGTCCAGGAAGAAAAGCTCCTTCCAGGTGGTTGCACCGAGACAAGTTGCAGTCAAGGAAGAATGACAGCCCGCAGCCAACCCCACAGCTACAGTAGCCAGCTCCACTCTGTCACCAGCGAATCGTGGCTCAGGAGGGACTGGTACCCAGCCTGGCTGTGTGTGTGGTCCCCAGCTGGTCCCTGGGCTCTAGACTGGGCACAGATCTGTCCCTCTGCACTTATCCCCTTGCCCCAGCTGTGCCTGCCTGATGGTACGGATTCAGCCACTGACAGTTCCCGGCCATCAGGCTCAGGTACCAGCTCACAGCTTGCACAGCTGGAGAAGCAGAGGAAGGATATAGATGTGCATCAAGTTCCTCAGAGTGCTGGCTCAGGAAGGATTTGGTACTTCCGGTGGGACTTGGGGCTAGGAGTCCCCAGACTTACCCTAGCCAGACTCTCCGATGTAGAAAGAGTAAGAGAAGTCAGAGAAGAACAGTGCAAAGCAAAAACTTTATTGCAGTTGTTGCAAGAAGAAGCGGTGCAAAGCCACTGCAGAGGAGTGAGAGTGCTCAGAACTGGGTCACAGCTGAATTTGGAGCTGCAGTCCTGTTTTATGGGGTAGGGGCGCCGTCTCCACCTCCCTGAGGACACTTGACTGATTGGATATTGGGCATGTTGCTAGGGGTTTGGTCTTATGGGTTAATAGGGGAACTTGGGTAGGCATGGCAACCTGCACAAGGAGGGACAGTGCTGGCTGCACAGAGGCAGACATCAAAACCACAACCTGTTGTCCTCAAACCACAAAGCTCCACAAAAACTGCTTACTGCTCATAGCTACACAGAGGCTGCTTTTTCTAGCCTCTAAAAAGGGCCCAAGTCTTTATTCTGACCCTACCGAAGGATCCCTTCTGTCCCTACAGGACTTTTCCCTTCCCTTCCAGAGTGAGGCTCATGTCTCAAGAGAGAAGTGGCCTTGTGGTGGTAGACCATCAAATCCAGAGAGGAGTGGGGGCAGCCGCTCTGATCTCCTGATGCCAGCAGGCCCCTTCCCCACTCTGGGTGACCCTCCTTATCTTGCATGTTCTTCTTGATTTGCTGTCTGTTTTACCATGCAATCTTTAAGACACACAAAACAACATAAAGAATAATACAAGAACCATCCATGTGCCCTCCACTCAGTTTAAGGGGAAAAAAATGG